TTTTTCAGGTGTGGCTTTGGATCTTCACAGAATTCAATTTTGGCAAGTCGCATTTGCAAAGTTGGTATTTTCGATTGATCTGACCAGGGTTTTAACAGCATTTCTAGATAACTTTGGAAGCTTTATCGAATTAGTTACGTATTGGTAGGATCTATTTAGTTTCAATCAAGGTGTGGGCTCTTTGTTTCGGCCATTCATGAGGATGTTTTTGTTAGCGGTTGAGGTTAGTCATTTCGGTTAGATCTACTAGTACCTCACCCTTTAGTTATGGTTATGAGGAAGAAGGAATGCAGGAGATCCACGGTTGGTTATGGGGTCTCTTGAGGGTGTGTAATGTGGCAAGTCCATTAGATATTGGCATGAGGGGACTATGTGGACTGAACAAGATTGAAAAGTAACACTTGGTTCAAATTATTGGCATGGTTCTTATTTGGGTTGTAGCCTTTGATTTGAATCAAGACTACAACCACCTATTTTATTTGTTGGTTGTGTGCGACCAGGTTTTCGTTTGATTTTGCATTGGTAGCAACCTGTACTGTGAAAAGAATTATTCATTGTAGAAGGGTATGGCTCGTGATGTGTTTAGTTAGTGTTTGAGAGGGATATTGATTGGGTTCGTGTAAGTAGGTGGGTTGATGATTGAGTATCTTTAGGCCCCTATGCTGCTGTTCGTGAGTCTTTAGGTCAATGATGGAATGACGGCAAGATCGGTATAGTACCGTGAACTTATCGTTTTAGTGGTTAGAACGTGTCACAATGTATCGTGAACAAGTAGCTGTATGATTCATAGGGGTGGGACCCGATAGTCATTTGATTGAGACTCTTAGGTCTCAGATCATTAGTCTTATTGGCATGTTTGGGTGTTAGTGCATTGTTGGGAATCTGGGGACTTAGTGACCAGCTGGTTCAGATCATGTGCTCAGTAATAGGTATGTTTTAAGTATTAATGGTGCATCGAAAGTCTCTTGTTCAATATTTGCATATTGATCCCCATTGTTTCCGAGGTGTTTATTAGGTGTTTGGTTACCAATGTTAGGTATCGGTTCTGAAATCTTGAGTCACGAAAGTCGATGTAAATATATCGAGTGATTTGTTAGGTGGATGTACATCTAAGCTGACGAGGGATTTGGATGCAACATGAGATTCTTCGATTGACCATCATTTTGCTCGTGGGAGAAACGAGATAGCGAAGACTTGTCAGGAACTCAAGTATGTATTTAAAGTTTTTGGCACAATTTCCGGATTTGGAGTTCGGTGAAATTCGCAATCGAGATGTCTTGAGTATTCTTTCTACATTGTTGGTGGTGTTCCTAGTCATGGACTAAGGGTAAGTATGATAGATGGATGATCATAAGTATTAGGGAATGGTTTTGGAGCTTAGACTAATGGGGTTCCGGTTTCGGGAAGTATATTGATGGAGTTGGTTGTGGTTGTAGTTTTGAGATTTCCCGGTTTGAATGGTTTTCAGTGGAAGTTGGATCTTAAAGTTAGGGAGAGAGAGATAGTGGATGCAGTTGATTATTTTTAAGTTATTGGGTTGTTTGTTGGCAGCTGTAGGTTTCTGAGTGATCTCTCGACTTCTCTGTATAAATGCCTTGATTGACGTTGTTTTAAGAGATCCTAACCAAGACGGATTTCGAGGATGAAATCCAGTTTAAGTGGGGTAGAGTTGTAATATCTTGTTTCGAAAAAGTTTCTTATTTCGAGATTATGGACAATACACAGATCAAGTAAAGGCATTGGACTTCAAGTGAATATGTTTAGAACCTATCGTATTTTGATAATATTGGTTATGTGATCTAAGCCTTGGTTTGTGTTTTGGATCCAAATGGAAAAATGGGAAAAGTTATTTGTTAGGATTCTTTCATGGATTGTAGTGTTTGGTTTGACATGTGTTACACCAAAAATAACTACGTAGAAGTGTGGGGCTCATCAATACCTTTCCATGGATATAAAGATCGCCAAAAATGTAGTTGAAACGAAGAAGTTATCACTATTTAAAGTTGGAGTGAAATTGAGTGAAAACCTGTCCCCCACGGGGTGAGAAGTAATTCTCACAACGTTAGAGTTCTCACGAGGTAAGAATATATTCTCACAACGTGAGAACTGTGCAACCCAAAGCCTACGAAATGTTTATGGTGTTCAAGGTATTTAAATGTAAGAATTTATGTTTACTGTATATGATTGATACGATTTTGGATGAGTTTTTTTTGTTAATTTAGTGGCCGGCTTTGGTGTGTGTGGTTGGTGCAGTCGTACAGACCCTTCTATCGTAAATGACCACTAAATTCACCGCTAGATCTATAGCTATGGTGTTTTTTTTCATAAAAAAACTATTTTGTATTGATTATTATTTTAAAAACTTGTTGTGACAAGTGATCATACACAATGTAACATTTGAAGTCATGTTAATTATAAAAATGTGACAAAAAGTCAAAATCTCATTACAAATTCAGTATATGTTTGTGGGTTATCAAAAATATAAGGATTTATAGAGTAACTACATTCAAGAAAAAATAAATTTTTTATTTCATGATAATAATATCTATAAAAGTTTTTATTTTTTTTATAAAACCTACCAAAAAGTAAATAAAACAAATATAAAAAAATTAAAAGTTCATAACCTAAGAAATCATAACCGTCGAAGCTACTTGTCTAACATCATATGAAATTAATATATTTGAATTTAATAATAGAGAATTTAAGAAAACTCTTTATATTATAAGGCTCAATTTTGTTTTGGTAGAAAGCTTCTGAAATATTAGGAACAACTTGTTTGTTATATTAGATTTTTTCTTCATTTATTACAAAATATCTTTTTTTTGTTGGTTCTTAAAACATTTTTAGACAAGTAATTATGACAGATGTCCATCTTAAAAAAGGTTGTAAACGTATATATTGGTAAATCGGGGTTTGACCCATTTTTCTCCGTTTCGGCAAAGTAAATTTACTTAAGGTTAAGATAAATAAGGGTTATATATATATATATATATATATATATATATATATATATATATATATATATATATATATATATATATATAGTTGAGATCGGTTGATAACTTATAGTTTCTCGAGAACTCGAGAACTAAAAGTGGAGCGCTGAATCAAAATTAATTCATTAAGGACATGATCGTCATCTTACCAATCTCATTTAATGTTTAATTTTTTATGTTATTGAATATATTAATATAAATGTCTAAAATTTTACATAATAAATCAAATTTTTAGATTTTTTTTAAAATAATATTTTTCGATTTTTTTTAAATATGCAGATTTTTTAATATTTTATAGAAAACATGAATTTTTGAAAAAAAAAATTGAAAAAAATATTTTTTTAAAAAAACTAAATATTTTTTTAAAAAAACTTGCATTTTTTTCAAAAAAAAACTGTAATTTTTTTTAAAGAAAACTGCATTTAAAAAAAAATAGTAATTTCTTTTTAAAAAACTGCATTTTTAAATAAAAAAACTGCACTATTTATAAAAAAACTCCATGTTTTTAAAAAAAAACTGCAATTTTTTAAAAAAACAACATTATTTTAAAAAAGTAAATTTTAAAAAATCAACAAATTAAAAAAAAAAGAGCTAGAATATTTAAAAAAATACTCTAATTTTTTTAACAGTAAAAATTAAAGTTTTAGGTGCATATATAGATATTTTTTCAAATGCATATATGCATATTTCTTATATATAATATTCGTAAGTAAATAATAAAAAATTTCATTTTTATTAATTAATCTATAAACCTAATAGTAAAAGTATTTTATTCGATATAAAATAAAATATAAAAAATAAAAAATGCTACAAATTTCAACGCATTTTCATGTCTTCGTGTTAATATTTCCTTATTTTCTTCAATTTATCATTTTTCACATCTTCAATATTCACCACAATTTCTTCCAAATCTACAAAAAAATTAAAAAAATTTGATTGATGCAAAAACACTCACAAAAATACATATCTGATTTTCATGTGATTAACATATGAATCAAACGCGATTCACATATGAATCACATGAGATTCACATATGAAACACATTTACATATGACATCATATGTAAATCACATATGAATCACATGTGAATCATATGTGAATTACATATGATTTACATGTGAATCACATGTAATTCGTATGTGACTCATGATTTACATGTGAATCACATGTGATTTACATGTGAATCACATATAATTCATATGTGATTTACTTGTGATTTACATGTGAATTGCATGTAGTTCGTATGTGAATTATATGTGAATCATATGTAATTCATATGTGATTTATATGTGATTTATATGTGAATCACATTCACATGTAAACCATAGGTGAATCACATGTAATTCATATGTGATTCACTTGTGATTTACATGTGAATTACATGTAATTCGTATGTGAATTATATGTGAATCATATGTAACTTATATGTGATTTACATGTGAATCACATTCACATGTAAATCACAAGTGAATCACATATGAATTACATGTGATTCACATGTAAATCACATGTGATTCACAAGTAAATCACATATGAATTACATGTGATTCACATGTAATTCACATGTGAATCGCATGTGAATCGCATGTGATTCATATATGAATTACATCTAAAACATATTTGTCACCTCTATTTACAATAACTTCTTTTGAAACAAGTTTTTAAAGGCGTCTTATAAGATTGTTTAATCATAAAATTGAAGATATTTTAAACATAATAATGTAGTATTGATAAAAAAAATCACCGAATTGAATTGAAGTTTGGTAGGTGTTGGTCTTCTTCAATAGCCGAATGAATGCATAAAACTCGGATGGTGAATGGTCAACTGAGAAGGTGCTTCCTGTTATCAACACAAATTGTAGATTTTGGTGAGAAGATGGGATGAAATAAAATATAAAAGTAAATTCAAAAAGAAAAACATATTTATACCAATAACATAAATATGCATTTAGAACAGTCCATGGTAGCATTAAAAATTGAAAAAAAAAGATTCATCATCACACACTATAAGGAGGAATTATGTATTGTTATAATAATGTACCCTTGTTTAGCAAGCTCTTGAAGAAGCAGCCCATTGGTTGTTCCAACATCAACAACACTCCATCCTGCTAAATCTTGACTAACAAACTCAGAGACAGAGTCATCATCAATATCATTATGCTGATTTTGTAATTGTCTTTGTGAAATCTCAACGCATAGCCCTTTTGTCCACAAAGCAACTATTTCCATCGCATCTGCTCCAAACCTTAACAATTAAAAAAGTTATACAAAAAAGAAGGTATCAGTTGTAGTCAATTTAATAGATAAGCATACCAAACTGATATCATATACAGCAATAGAAGTTGATTGATTAACAAGCAGATTATAGTTACCTCCTTATGGTGTCATGATCTTCATATGTATTTATGGCGAAAACCCAGTAATGCAGCCACATATCTACAAAATATGTTACCCCTTAAACTGCATGTTCATAAACCTCCACAAATTTATCAATAGACCCTAATCTTGCTTCATGATCAGCATACTTCTTCCAGTAGCCATAACACAGAGGAAATTCAGCCAAAAATGCATCATAAACTTTCCTGATCTTCAACACATTGGCCTGTCAATGTGGTGTAAAATCAATATAGTGAAGAAAAAAAGATAGATAAAATGAATGTTGAAAAAGTTGCCTACCTCTGATGTTTTCTCTGTCTCCTCTATTAGTGCAGTCCATGCATTAAAATCCAGTGAATAGGCTTTTACCATGTTCCACAATCGGTCTTCTTCAGGAGATAATGTTGCATTAATCTCAAAAGTCAGACCCAAAATTAAAAATAATAAAGAATGTAAAAGCCATGAAGATATACCAGAAATATCCACCAATTGTTGTGTAGATGCAGAAGTATGAACACTATATGAACCAACTCCATTCTCACTAACATCTTGTGAGGCAGTAGATGGAACCTGTTGACCAACATCTGTAGCCTCTGACTTTCCAGTAATATCAAAGGTTATATTATCTACATATGTGTTATCAGTAGCAACAAATGCAACTACATCTCCACTAACTGTGGCTTCGGCAACATTTCAAGTTCTATCACCATAATCAGAGGCGGAATAAGAAGGAGATGAATAATCATCGACAGCTGATGTTTGAGAAACGACTGTTTCATCATCTCCCATTGTAATAAGAAGATAAATATGAAACCTGTACAAAAAATGGCCGCAAATACATAAGCAAGACAGATAAGAGTGATTATGAAGCAATGATACATCAATTTGAAATTAAAGAAAGCATTACGTAAACAGAATTTGAATGATCTCGATATTGGAAGTGTATGTGCAAACTTAAGAGTACTCTCAACTGTTATCAGGGTAGAATTGGTGTGTGTCTGATTAGGGGGGAAATATGCTAAGCCATAAAAAGGAAAACCTTTATTTTTGGAAATAACAATAACAGAGAGATGTATTGCCGATATCCTATACATCCCCTTTTAGTATATATTCTCAATGTAGCTTTTCTTATGATCAATGAATCCAATATTATTGTATGCTCTAAAGTGATGAATTTCAAGCCATAAAACCAAACTCAAAAAATATGAACGGATCACACAGCTGCAGGGTTTACTTATATTTATATGTTTCATATTGTCATATTTACATTTCTCTAATTCAGTAAACTCAAAGGAATGAACATGCTCAATCTGCTTGGAGTGACTAGTTGCTCTCCTATCTGTCTCACCCTTCACAGAATTACATCCACCATGTGTGTAGATGTAGAACAACAATCTTAGTACTATTAACATAACTACATTTTACAAAATAAAACTTAGAGGTCATGAAGCAGATCCAGGTTCAATGCACAGTTTTGTCAGTTAGCACCAAGCCATAATCAAGGATCTTATACAGCTACTTCCAAACTGAAAACCATATACAACTTCTGGCACTGTATTATAGACACCCTAGAGGTGACATTAAAATCAGAAATCAATGTCAAACTCCAACTATAGACACGGGGAGGATAGGCAAAAGGGAAACTGTCAAACCTGAGCACATGTGCTTCCTCTCTTGACTGTATAACTGCATTGGTAGTGAAGTGGCTAGTTATTTCTGATAAAAAAAAGGATAATAGAAAAGTTTGATATTCAATAGAATATGTGATATAGGCAAAAAAAATAGTGTTTTAATGGAACGTTTATTTGATGTTCAACATTAGAGATCTAACATCTAAATGTCAGAAACTATATAAGTAGAAGTCAACCAAGCAAGAAGAGAAAGAATGATGTGATCGATTAAAGAAGAGAAGAGGTCCAATTTCGAGTTTGGTACCTGCAATTTTTTTTCTTGTGTGTGGCGTCGATCGAAGGTGGAGACAGAAGAAGAGCTCTATCGGTTTCTCTATTGATTTTGGGGATGTGATAATTTGAAGCAAGAGCATGAAGAAGGTACGTAAGGAGAGCTACGATTTTTTTCTTGTTTCCTTGGCTCCTACGATCAATTTTGCAGAAGGTGAGGGAAGGCGTGCCTATACTAGTCGATTCTGACCTGCATCTGTGATCGATTTTAGGAGAAGAGAAGAACCCTTCGGATACCAACACGCACACTATAAATTAATAATATAGTAGATGATTTCATTAAGAACAAGCCGCTGAATGCATGACTATTCTATTTCAGTAGCATATCTCTGTCAACAATCAGTTTCGAAGAATTGAATTTGGAGAAATTGATTCCCAACCAACTGTTCATCTGCGATCCACGGTTGAATCGATTTTTGGTTCATTCATTCGTCAATTAGAAGTCGACAGTGGTAGTGGTAGCCGATGAAGGGAAGAAGGAGGTGGTGATTAGAAGGCGTCGCAGAGGGAAAAGGGGAGAGATCGCCGAAGATTTGGAGGTGCGACATTGATTTTTTACAGTGAGAGAGAAAGAGTTTGGACGTTTGGTTCCTTACATTTAGCAATTTATTGATTATTTCCAATAACACCCTTAGATCAAAAAAACTTAGGTACCCTCATGTCTTTTTTTCCCAATTATTTACAAAATTGCCCTAAGAATTCTCAGCCCTCTATTTTTTTGATCTAACGGTCTAAAATTAGTTCTCGGGTTCTCGGGAAATTTTAAGTTCTCAAATGATGCTTCCTATATATATATATATATATATATATATATATATATATATATATATATATATATATATATATATATATATATATATATATAAAGAGAGAGGAGAGAGATTTTCATTCCTTGTATACTCTACTCTTTTCTTTACACAATATTTTATGTACCATAACCATTCGGAATATAGAGTTCATATCAAATAAAGGTTTAACCGTTGCAATAGTCGTATCCATTGTTATTTGGTCTATTGTGGTTAGTAAGATTGATGAATTAGGTGAAAGTATGGACACAAAGAGAAATTTTTTTTTATCAATATATTGTATCTTATACACACATCTCCACTATGGAATGAAGAATGATAATATTTAGGAGTCATTAAAAATCAAGAATACATTCCTCTGAGAAATCTTTCTCCTATTGGGCACTAGTATTTTTTAACGTCTAATCAGATCGGATAATTATTCAAATTAAGAACGGAAGTTTATTGCTTTTTGACTCCCTATAATGAAAATGCAATTAATTGAATCCGCAGGGCCTATCCGTTTATTAATTCATCCTAACTTGAAATTGACTTGGGTTTGCTCCCTTTCACTAATTTTCACTAATTTAAAGAAGGTTTTGTACCGAGCCATAATAAATTATTTTCAGAACTCTTAATTGATGACATGTTATTTTTTCCATTCATTCCTTTTCATGGTCTTCCAAACTTTACCGATGGTATGGATTAATCACTCGCCTCATAAAATGTGTAAAAGATCCTAATCGCACTTAAAATTGGAGTACTCTAATGTTTAGTTATCAACCCAAACAGAGAACGGGTATGTAGATACAATCAAAATAAAAAAAATGATGAAATAAAACCATTAAAATACGAAATCAAAAAATATAAAAAAAATTTATAATATATTTGGAACATAAAAATGACTAAGTTTGATGAATTTTTTTTTGATAAAAAAAAAAAAGAAATTAAAAAATGTTAGACCATCTCCTATTTCTATGTTATCAGCATTTTTCAATAAGAAACGTGGGTATAAAAGGTAATCCAAGGAACTCATATTTTGAATTAACTAAGGTAAAGAATCAACTGATGAAATTAAATAGAGCTACTTGTTAATGTATACTTATTTCTTTATTTATTGATGTTCGTGTAGGTTTTACGTACATATATAGTATATGGTCCTTTGTGTATTTATTTATGTAACATTGCATATATATTGATGGTAATCTAATGCAAAGCATGTGAGGGTTATTTCCACATACATGGTATCAAGCTATTGGGGTACTCGGCGCATCAAAGAATAGGCACATCACTGATTTTTTTCCCATTCAAACACAGTGTCACGCATCACAATTGATCGTTTTTTCTCTATTCGTTCGATCGATCTTACCTGTTTCCGACTTCTACTCTAATCCTCCTACTACACTTATTGATCTTCGAACTTTGCTGCCTACTCCAATCAAGCTTCACAAATTTAGGACGATAGATCTACTCATTCCCTCCACCTACGGTTAGTTAATCTGATTAATATTACGTGTTTTTATTTTTATTTTGTTCTTCGATTTCCCATTTATAATGAGCATCCCATCTGGTTCTTCTACCAACGCCCCTATTGTCTAACAACTTGTGTATGCAGTCACCAATGTCTACAATCAATTCAGTTGTAAACTAACCTGTGATGGCTCCAAATACAAACTATGGTGTCGTGTTTTTAAATACATTTGCACAGGTGCTAAGGTTATTGGTCATATCACTGGAAAATCCAAGCCTAATGGTGAAGAAGATGAAGATTGGGCATCTATTGACTCCCGTGTGAAGTCATAGTTTTACTTCACTTGTGATCCCTCAGTTTTACTAATTATCACTACTTACTCATGCACTATAAAAGATACATGGGACAACCTTCATGACTTTTTCTCAACAATAAAATGCCTCGGATGCTTCAACTCCAAGAACAATTTCATAATAAAAGAAAAGGTTCTTCCTCTATTCATGAGTATTAATTGTCACATTATAAAGCACCTTGCAGATACTCTCCATGATGTTGATGCTGAAATATCTTAAATGGAACTTGTTATGAACATCCTTCGTAGTCTACCGACCTCCTATCAAAGTATTATTGATTTCATCATGAATACCAAGCCGTTCTCGTCCTTCTTAGAGGCCAAAAACATGTTTCTCCTACGTGAGAATCATGAAGACAATCATGACCCGATGCTAGACCCGAACATCACTACTACGACTCTCTATTCCGCATCTAATCATACCGGGAAATCGAAAAATAAATGGAATAAAAAAAGTAGCAATAATCGGGATACTTCCAACCGGAGGTAATAATAGTTTTTCTACTAATACTCATTGCGAGTTGCAGGGACAAATACAAATACATATTCACAAATTACTAGAATTATGGGAACACATCCTTCAACTACACAAGTTTTTTAACTCAATAATTTAATAGTCAAAGTGAAAATATTCCCACTAGGAATTTTTTTTCTTCCTGCAATTCACGCCTACAACAACCCTTTTGGCGCATATAGTCCAGCTCATGCAAACATTTATGGTGCTTGCCCAGGTGCAGCAGCCAAATACATGCCAGCTCGATTTCATGGACAGCAACCTACTGCTCCGTTTGCTGCTCATTCACAGCTCTCAACCCACGCTGGGCAGCCACATCAGCCTCCAAACAGGCCCATGTTCACTGCTGGACCCACACAACACGCAAGAAATTTTTTTTTCTTCGCAAGGCATGATTTTTCCAACACAACAATAGCCTACATATCTAGCTTCTATTTTTCAATCCATGTCGCTTCAACCGCCTATGGATAATAAGTACTACATGGACATGGGTGCAACTTCTCACATGCCGTTCAACCAATGTATCATGGTTTCACTAACAACTTGTAATTCTAGGTCCATAATGATTGGTAATGGTGCTATAATTCCGGTTTCTTACATTGATCACACATTTCTTCCATATTTTCTCATGACAAATTCTTTTAAAAAATGTCCTTGTTTCAAATAAAATGATAAAAAACTTAGTTTATGTTCGTAAATTTATTAC